GATGGAGAGCAGTTTTTCGTGGAGGTTTTCTTCTCTTGATCCTTTGTTCTCCTTCCTGAACTTAAGGATTCATTATTGTTAGGAGAGATGAAGCAATGAATCCCTCATTCCCTGCTGGTGCTTGCGGTGTTGGAGATATTCTATGGCTTTGTCTAATGTTGTAGGCACTTCATAATTTATTTTTCTGCTTACAATTGTTATGTTAGTAGTTCTTCCAATCATAGGGACTGATTTTTGGAGATCTCCAAACAGTTCTCATTGAATCATGTTAACCGAATTTATGCTTTAGTTAGAAAGATGCAACTATTAGGAGGATTAATATCTCATGGAATTTATGTTTTTTTGCTGTATCAATATTGTTGGAGGAAGAAGGGCTGGTCTCACAATGTGTGCTCTGAAATTTAAGGACAGTAGTTTTGCGGAGGAGTTTAGAGGTGTTGTGAGAGAGCATAAGAAGAGAAAAGGCCATTGTGCTGAAGACACATGAGAATTCTCCTAAAGTTTGTGATGAGCAGAGGGAAGATTTTTATTGATAGTTGTTAGTTAACCTTTCATATATTCAAACGTAGACCCTTGCAAAGTTGGTTTATGCCAATATTATTCTTACTGTTCGAGTTAGCTGTTGTTGGAAACATTTTTAGCTTTCTATCTGCAGTCAACATATTAATTGTTGCTCCATTTCTTTTTTCTGATTGCTTAGTCTGCTGAACACTTTTATTCATTTGGCAACTTGATCACTGCTTTAAGGTGCTTTTGTTGGCCAATCTTGAGCTACTTAGTCACTGTTTTGGAGGGCTTTGTGACCTATTTAAATGTTGATTTTTTGGACCCTTTAAGCACCTTTTTTGGGCTGATTACATATTGTTTTGGGCACTGATTCTGAAGCAGTTTTGGCGCAGTTTTGGGTGTTTTTGGCACTGTTTTGGGACGTTTTGTGGGTTGATCTTGGAGCAGATTGGGCACTGTTTTGGGGCCATACTGGGGCCGTTTCTTTTGCTGATTTAACTATTAGACGGATGAGATCCATTCGGTCTCATTTTCGAAAAATTGAAACACCTTTATTTTCAAAATACAAAAGTTATATACCTCTTATATTAAATTAAATTTAAATTATTTTCAAAAAGTTGACTGACACCAACTCAAGATTTTCTCAAGAGAGAATCATCCAACAGATTGGATCTAGCAGGTTGAGTTGCAGTCCTAAGATTTCCTGCGAGGCTTTGAATTAGCAGGCTAAATTTTGTTTTTTGGGATTTCGAGGGAGAGAAAAACCAACGATGGGGAATCGCGCGTAGCTTCTTCGTCGCTCGCCTGAAATTTTCGTTCGAAAGAAAAATGTTGGAATGTTTTCTAGGATTTGCACTTGAGAGAGAAAATTGCAAGCGCGGGAAAGTTGATAATCTTCGAATGCTTCGATCCAACACGACAGGTTTCTTCCACTTCGTTTGCACCAATAGAAGTCTTCAGTTGCAATTTTCTACTCTGCTCCTCGTCAGGAGGAGATTGACTGACCAAATAGAACTTAGATCCCTACCCTGTAGATAATGCGACCCATTTGAGAGTGTGTACTATTTAATGATTTTGAATTTAGCTTACAAAAAAAAAAAGATTTTGTAAAGTTTAAAAATAATTGTGAATTTCTCAAAATAGATTAAATTTATAAATTAGCTCATTTTTAGGCCCACGCAATATTCTAAACTCGTATGTTCAAGCATTTAGTGTGATGATTTACGCACATGCAAACATTTAATTTTGGTGCATTTACAAGATGCATATGTATGGCCTACAATGCTCTTGCATTATTTATTTCTATTTTCAAAACATATACATGAATTTTGAGGCATTGTGCTTGAATTATAAAATTGCCTTTTAAAACTTGTGTAAGTTTCAAATGATCAAAGTTTTGTTATTTGCGAACAAACATCTTTTGAGTGACTTTGGTGACAATTGAGACAATTCAGGCCCAATTATGTTCGTCTCATTTGTCATCAATGTTTTGGTCGGATCAATCATAATTTTTTTTGGGGGTTCTAGATGGATTGATCTAATTTATTTTGCAAATGGATGATGTTTGGGCAATTTCGATGGTTGTCAAAGTGATTTAGATTCTACTCGCCTCCGTGGTTGAAATATCTCCATTCAATTTGCATTATGTCGTTTTTCATCTTTATCTTGATTTGATGAATCAGTTGAGGGGGTTTTGTGATACTGGATAACCTAAAACAACAATATGAAAAACAAATATTATTACTGACAAAGCCAATACGCAGTTACAACCAACACATTGAAGTAGGAAACATGACCAAAACACCTAAATAGGAAATAACAACCACAAGACTCACGACACATGACTAGAGTGGATCTCTAGTGGCGATGGTGGTTGTTAGGGAGCTTAGAGAGGCGATAGCAAGGGGTTAGATGGATTGGACAACTAAGAGCATTCTCTAGGGGATATTCTAGGCGGTGGCAACAACAACTAGTTTACGGGGAGGTGGTTTCGATGATTGGGACCATAGTGAGGCAGTATAAGGAAATGGTTTTGGGCGGTTGGAATAGTAATGGCAGTGCCGGGGGAGGGTTACAACATTAGCTAGGTTGCAGGCATGTGGTTCATGTGGTTGGAACGACATTGGACAACACGACAAGGGGTGTAGGGGGCTGTGGCAGCTAGGCTTGATGCCTGGAGGGAGGTGCTGGGATGGATGAGCCGGGAGGCAATTGGGATGGCAGGTGGCTGGCTGCTGGGAGGCAGAGAAACTGTAGGAGAACAATCAAGAGGGTTGTTTTCGGGCAGCTGCAGTAGGAAAGCAGCGACGACTGTGAAGAAAAGGATGCAGAGGAAGGGTAGCAGAGGATAGCCACCACCTCAGTTGCGAGATATAGCCGGAGGATCACTCGTCCTTTGGCTACAACCCTTGAGGGGAAATCTTAGACGCTGACAGTTGTTCCGACCAAAAAAAACCCAAAATTAAAGCCCGTGCTTTGATGATTCTGATGTTTTGAATATGTCGGTGAAGTCCATTATGAAAATAGACATTGTTCAAGTGGTTTTAGATATATTTTTTTTGCCTTTCTCATCATGCAGCGTGCAAGTTGATGCAATCTTTTGCAATTTTGAAACTATGGATGCAGTGGTTGAACCTATTTCACGTTTGAGCAATGTTTAGGTGATTTGGATTGTGATTGGTGCAATCCACGCCTAATTCATGTAATGTTGTGTCTAACATTTGCCATTTTTGCTACGTGCAATCCACCACCTCGGTTGCGAGATATAGTCGGAGCATCACTCATCCTTTGGATACAACCCTTGAGGGAAATCTTAGATGCCGACAGTTGTTCCGACAAAAAACCCCAAAATTAATGCCGCTGCTTTGATGATTCTGATGTTTTGAATATGTCGGTGAAGTCCTTTATGAAAATAGACGTTGTTCAAGTGGTTTCAGATATATTTTTTGCCCTTCTCATCATGCAGCGTGCAAGTTGATGCAATCTTTTGCAATTTTGAAACTATGGATGCAATGGTGGAACCTATTTCACGTTTGAGCAATGTTTAGGTGATTTGGATTGTGATGGGTGCAATCCACGCCTAATTCATGTAATGTTGTGTCTAACGTTTGCCATTTTTACTACGTTCAGTCTTAATTGACCTGATATCACTTTAAAGATTACAAAATGATCAAAATTAATTTGGTCTCTACTGGTAAAATACATAACCAAGTAGAATATGCCTCCTCTACTTCAAAATGAATCTTATGCTGTCGAGTTGCTTCTTAATTCCACTATGTATGGTCTAATATTGTGATTTAACGAACTATTGTTCAAGAACATGTTCATCAGACTCTACTTTAGAGCTGGTTAAGATGCATACGAAATGACTTCACCTTGGTTATCTTCGATTTCACCCATACGGGTTGCATTAATTTATCAATGTTACTATGAAAATGGCATGAATTGAGCATAATATTTCCGTATTAATTACATGGCAGCAATGAAATAAAATAAATTGCCACCAGTTTAAGTGGAAAAAAATGACCCGATCATATGAAAATGTACTGATCTTTGAAGTGGAGAAGTGGTATAGGATATGCATGTGGAGTTGTGGAGAAGATGCGGTGGAGTGGTTCTGCTAGATTACCTCCAATTTTATATAATATTTCATCACTAATGCTTTAGAGTTACATGGTCATTTATATATAGCATTGCAATGGAACAACAAATAGAAAATAATCCTGAACTTGTAAGGCTTGGATCTACCAAGTCTTAAGGTATGCACTCTTTGACTCGTCACACTGCTTATTTTTGTACTTCCTCATTAATAATTTAATAGAAACCACCCTATTGATCGTATTCTTTTTTATAATTGTAATCTTTAAAACTCTCTTTCTGCTAAAAAAATTCTATCCACTCATATTTGTAATCTTTACAGTGTTAAACAGCTTTCAAAATTTCTTCAATGTCTTCAATTTATTTTCCTTCTTTGGCAAACATATGATATTCATTGTTTAATTTGTTATATTGATTAATTCTTTGACATCTTATTGAAGCTCCTCAAATTTTTTCAGCAATATAATCTTAGCTTTATTTATATTTAACTTTTGTACATTTTTTTGATTGGTTTTAGTTTTGTTTTGCGTTACCCTCCATTGATATTTTATCCAGCCCTTTCTTACTTCTCACTACATTCAAATTAAGCTACTGGATATTTTTTATCCTAAAAATGCATATCAACCTTTCAGGAACCGTCAACATCCTGAAAATAGCAAGTATTAAATTTGAGTTTTCATTGGCTTTGGAGAGAGTCTAGTGTGGGTTTGGTACCGGAATTGTGGTTTTAACCAGTTAAAAATTGTCATTTTATCTTTATAATAATTACGCATTGCCTGATCAGAATTGTTACTTATTAGAAATTCAGATTCGTTTTACTTGGCTTTTCACAAAACATCAACTATAGCTTAAGGTGTCATAAGCACAATCCTTATTTTTTATTAGTAATATTGCAGTTTTTCTTGGAGCTTATGAAGGTTCCACGTGTAGAATCCAAGTTAAGAGTATTCTCGTTCAAGATTCAGTTTCATCAGCAGGTTGGGTTGCAAGTCAGTTTCATCTGTTTTGCTCAAGAAATTTACTGTAATTCATCTATCTGTTTGCTTTCAGATTGCTGATCTTCGAAAGAGTTTAAACACCATTGATTTGGCATGTGAGCAGGTGGTATTATACTTCATCTACGCAGAAAATTGGCCTCTTTTCCATCCATTATTATGTAAAAATAATTCATGATTTTTGATTTACTAGATAAGGACCTCTGACAAGCTCAAGGAAATAATGAAGAAAATATTGTACCTTGGAAACATGCTAAACCAGGGAACTGCTAGAGGTAATTTTAATTTACTTTCATTATGATATTAATTTTCTTTATTGTGTTTGCTTTTTTGGGGAGAGCTGGATGTAACTAATTATTTTCTTCCTAGTTTTTTTTTTTGTTTTTTTGGATATAATTGAGATAAAAGGAGCATGGATGAGATTGAATTGAATCTCATGCGAAAGTGCAAGATTAGGGAGTTGGCAGATATTAAACCTCTGCTTTAAGATTCTTTGTGGAGGGTGCTAAATTGTAAAATAAATTCATGAAGATTAATATTCATCCTAAAACTGTTGCTTGGAACAAAATTTACATACTTAATATCTGCCAGGAAGTCCTTTAAATTGAATTAGAAGGATTTTAAGGGAGTTATTACTTTGAGTGCACTTGTTTTAGTTCTGTTTCCGTTGGATGATAACTTTATTGTATTCTTAATCCAGGTTTCTTCTCTTTTAGTAAGCTTAAATTTTATCTCTTGTGCATTTTCTATCAAGAAGTTTCAAAACATGGACCTCTATATCTTCTTCCATTCAATCGTGGAACCTTTTGTACTAAGAAATTCACGAGATTAGCAAATTTGGGTGAAGTTATTGGTCATTTTATAGTTATTTATATTCATCAGGGATACTGCTCATAGCTACCAGTTCTAATGTTTGGATTATTCTTCTGGACTTACAAGATCCTACACTAGCATGTAAACCTAACCTGATAATTATACAATATGGGCTTGAAGCGCACTTTCTCCTGACCTCAATACTCATGACCGCTAAGTTTGGAACAAAATTTACTAAAATTGTTGCTTTGAACAAAATTTACATACTTGAGATCTGCCAGGAAGTCCCTTTCAATTTAAATTAGAAGGATTTTAATGGAGTTAAGAGTGATGTTTTAATTTTTGGAAAGTGAGACCGAACGTATCTCATCCGTCTAATAGTTTACATATCGCAAATACTACACCTTTCCGGAAGATAAGTATACCTCAGTAATGGACCCAATCATGCAAACTAAGAGATTTGTGATATCTGTTTGGCCTGAGAATCTTCTATGTGTGACCAACAAGTTTCCCTATCTGATACAAAAATAAAATGAGGTTTATTTTATTAGGGTTCCAAGTTCCCTATAGAAACAAACCCCTATAGTTTACACCTTGAATGATTGAGGTTATTTCAGAAAACTCTCGATAATGAACAGAGGTACTAGTTTTCAAGAATTCATGATTTAGGTTTTCACGGTAGGACGTGGAAAAACAAGTGGGTGTGACTCAAGTAAGCACAACTATTTTCAGGAGACGAAGGAAGGAAACGGTAGGGGACGTCACAGATCCTGATGAGAGTCCTCAGTGACTTCCCAAACTATCTTACTGTGTGGCTGCATTTTGGAGATGATGTTATTTAATTGTTCAATCATGTTAATTTTATTATTTGGGGACTTACACTTGCATAATGACTGACAATGCAAATAACCCGTAATGACAGGAGGGTTTACGTGGTACCGAACGACAACATCAGAACTTAAGGCGAGTTATGACTTAACGCTATACAACATGATTGTGCAGACGCCTAAAGAGGGTGAGGATTTGCGTCGCACTAGGCGAGTTACCTCGAAGCCCTATGAATTGTTGTTATGATTAAGAATGTTTAGTTGGTGTAAACTTGTTTTGTTGTTGTAGATTGGCGACCATCTCACTTGTAGTCCACTCCAAGCTCCTCGTAACAATAGTAATTCCAATGTTTCGGGTTTTAAGTGTTTATGTTTATTGTTTATGTGTTATGTTTTGGTTTTATTTGTTTTTGTTGAAGTGTTTAGGAGGGCTTATTTTATTTTAAGTTAAACGATACCGGTTAAGATCTCACGTATTTATCATCTCGGCATCACTATTATCTTTTTAATTTACTTATTCTAAATGAGCTGTTAAGCTCATTTAAACCGAAGAATTCTCATTAACAGCTGTAGGTTACCTCATCCGAGGGATTATTGTAAATCCAAAAGATGTGGATTAAGTGCGTTCAAGAGGTTTCAAATTGTAAATTGATTTTCAAATATATATATATATATATATATATATACACACACACAGATAATGTAAAGCATGCATAATAAAATGAAGTGACAGTAAAACAGTAAGATTCCAGTAAAACAACTAGATTGCAGTAAATAAATTGTAGATGCGTACCTAGCGTGTCTGCTGCTGCCGCAAAAGTGTTAGTATCGCAGGTAAAAATAAGCGGATATGACTAAGGATTTGATGAACACATAAAACATGAGCATACGTATGTAAATGAGCGGGTGACACATGAAAGCTCGCAGAGGACCTGCAAAGATTCAAGTCAGGGTGGGCTCAGAGTTTGGTTGTGTGCATTATAATCTAACTTTGGATAGAAACGATCGACCCAAACAATGGAGGGCAACTCCTAGCCACAATCGAAACAATTAACCAGTGAACCTTTATAAAATTTTGTCGAAGGTTTATTTAACTTTTCATGCATATAGAGTTTATTTAACATACAAAAGTAATGCTGTTGCAAATGGAAATCTTTATTATTATTATTTTTTAACATATGTGGAAATGCGTGAGTAAGTGTAGTATCTGTGTAAGCGTGTGAAGAAATGAAATAATACATCGGTTGCTCGCTTATATCGGGTTAGAATTACCTAGCAACCTAAGATAGTCGGGGTCAACATCACACCAAGAGTTAGTGAATGGTATCATCGATCTTGCTCTTCTCTCATTGAAGGTCATCGATGCGGGAGGTACCATTCAATTCTCTCACTTTAGCACACATAAACAATGTCATCATCACCCTAAAAAAAAAAGCGGGGGAAGAAGACGAGAGGAGACTGACCCATCACCGAAAATCGGCTAGACAGAAGGGTAGAACAGCGAGTGGTTCAGCTTAAAAAGGTGTTTAAATAGTAATCAATTAAAACTCAACACAATAGATGAAAGGCCCCCAAAACCAACTTTAAATCGTAAGCAAAAGTTCCAAAAATCGCTCCCAAATCATCTCTTATAGCCCCAAATGACTCATCATAACACTTTGCTTACTCCAAACAATAAAGAAAACATCCTCGAAACAGTCCCAAAACGGTAATTTAAAATTCCAAAAAAATTGTTTTATAGTGTCCAAAAATAGTGAAAGTATCGAGCAAGGGGCAGCCCCCGAAACAGTGAAGATATGGGGCAAAAATTGGACTAAAACAGTACAAAAGATCAGCATTAAAGTAATGCGTAAAATATCTCCAAACAGTACAAAAGAATCAACACAAAAATAAGCCCCAAAATAGGATTTTTTACTCTCTAAATCAGCAAAAGAAACAACCCCAAAATGGCACCAAGACTAGGGTTGTCAAAAAAGCTCGTTGTTCGCGAACAGTTTGTGTTCAACTTATCGGGGAGTTCGTGTTCGATTCGTTTGACAAGCAAACGAGACGAACACGAACAATTTTTTTTTCCTTCAGTTTATAAACAAACCAAACACAAACAGTCATTTGTTCGATCCTGTTCGAATCATTATTATTCGAAATATTAAATAATGTAAAATAATTATATATAAAAAAATTATCATATTCTAAAAATAATTATATACTATAAAAATTTATCATATTTTAAAAAATTAAATCCTATAAATTATAATTTGGTCTTCATGTTCGCCTTTTAGCTTATATTAAATTTTATAATTTCGTATTTATTTTCAGGTTCATCTCTTAGTATAAATTTTCTTATGTCTTTTAGATTTATTTTGTTTCTTTGAGTGAAACATAATTTTTAGGAGTGAAATCTCGCATATTTCCTCTAGATCTGAATTTTTTTTAGATGAGATATGATATTATGATTTTATTGTGAGTCGTGATTCGGCTATTTTGTATTTGTGTTGTTATTCATATATGTTTAAGCATTAATTTTATATAAGTTTAAGCTTTTGAAAGATTTCGAACAATCCAGACAATAACAAACAAATTTATAAGGTTTCGAACGATTTAAATAATTCGAACAATTCAAACATTTCAAACATATTTCAAACAAATCAAACTGAACACGAACAGTAACTTCACAAAGAATTTCAAACACGAGCCTATTTCACACAAAAGTAATTTCAAATGAGCCGAACACGAACACGAGCTCTGTTTGTTCGTGTTCAATTCTTTTACACCCTACCCAAGACAACATTTTGAACCCTCCAAACAATAAATGAATCAGCCCAAAAATAAGCCCCAAAACAAATTTTTTTACTCTCCAAATCAACAAAAGAAACAACCCCAATATGGCCCCAAGACTAGAGTTTTCAAAAAACCTCGTTGTTCGCGAATAATTTGTGTTTGGCTCTTCGGGGTTTTCGTGTTCGAATCGTTCGATAAGCAAACGAAACGAACACGAACAATTTTTTTCGTTCGGTTTATAAACAAATCAAACACGAACAGTCTTTTGTCGATCGTGTTCGAATATGATGACTGTTTTGAGGATGTTTCCTTTGCTGTTTGGAGTCAACAAAGTGCTATGATGAGTCGTTTGGGGATATTTAAGTGATGATTTGGGGGCGATTTTGGGAGCTTTTTCTTATGATTTAAAGTTGGTTTTGGGGGTCTTTCATCTATTGTTTTGAGTTTTACTTGATTACTATTTAAACACCTTTTTAAGCTGATACACTTGATGTTCTACCCTTTTGTCTAGCTGAATTTGGGTGATGGGTCAATCTCCTCTCTTCTTCTTCCCCCATTTTTTTTTTTTTTTTTTTTGGTGATGATTGTTATGATTTTGAGAGAATTGAATGGTACCTCCCACATCGATGACCTTCAATGAGAGAAGAGCAAGATCGATGATACAATTTACCAACTCTTAGTGTGATGTTGCCCCCGACTATCTTAGGTTGCTAGGTAATTCTAACCCGATTGAAGCGATCAACCGGTGGACTATTTCATTTCTTCACACACTTACACAGACACTACACTCATTCACACATTTCTACAGATTTAAAAAAAATAATAATAAAAAAGAAATCTATTTGCAACATCACTATTTTTGTGTGCTAAATAAATTCTACATGCATGAAAAGTTAAATAAACCTTTGACAAAATTTTATAAAGGTTCGCTAGTTAATTTTTTCGATTGTGGCTAGGAGTTGCCTGGCTAGGAGTTGCCCTCTTAAAATTCTTTGGGTTGGTAGCTTCTATCCAAAGTTGGATTATAATGCACACCACCCAGCTCTGAGCCCACCCTGACTTGAATCTTTACAGGTCCTCTGCGAGCTTTCGTATGTCACCCGCTCATTTACATACATATGCTCATGTTTGATGTGTTCATTAATTCCTTAGTCATACCTGCTTATTTTTACCTGCGGTACTAATACTTTTGCAGCAGTAGCAGACATGCCAGACACACATTTACAGTTTATTTACTGCAATTTTACTGTTTTACTGCAATCTTACTGTTTTATTGCTACTTCATTTTATTATGCATGCTTTACATTATCCACAAATCTTTGAAAGTCAATGTACACTTTAATGGAGTTGTTACTTTGAGTGAAGTTGTTTTAGTTCCGTTTCCGTAGGATGATAACTGTATTGTAGTCTTAATCCAGGTTTCTTTTCTTTTAGTAAGCTTAAATTTTATCTCTTCTGCATTTTCTATCAAGAAGTTTCAAAACATCCACCTCTATATCTTTTTCCATTCAAGCGTGGAATCTTTTGTACTAAGCAATTCACGAGATTAGCAAATTTGGGTGAAGCTATTGGCCATTTTATTGTTATTTATATTCGTCAGGGATCCTGCTAATAGCTACCAGTTCTAATGTTTGGATTATTCTTCTGAACTTGCAAGATCCTACACTAGCATGTAAACCTAACCTGATAATTATACAATATGGGCTAGAAGCACTCTCTCCCGACCTCAATATTCGTGACCGCTAAGTTTGGTTTATCCCGATACACTTGAGATTCTTCATTATTTGATGCTTCATCAATATCATCATTGTTAACTCGCTTATTTGGGGTTGACTTTATGAGTCATCTTTAATTATATTTTTATTGAATGCTAGATGATGCGTTATTTTATTTTAGCAAGTTCTGAATACTTTCTAGCCAAGTCACCTTCAAAATGCGCTTTTATTATTATTATTATTAATTTTTCAATTGAATTTACCCTTTCTTCTTCCTATGCTTTTCACCTTCAATTTGCCCATCCTCTATAGATGTTGTACTAGTCTAATTCATTGAAGTTTGTTTTTATTACTTTATTTTTATGAGCAGAACTATTATTTCTCTAACATAATCATTTCTCAAATTGAGCTTTGACGTTGATAGTGACCTAAAACTCTTAATTTGTTTACTTCATAGTTATTTCTTATGCAAATAATTACTACAACATGTACATCATTAATAAATACAACATGCATCCTCAAACACATCTTTCTTCAACATTTAACAAATGTTTTCTAATTCTACCCAATCATATGCCTATTAAGATTAATAAATATCATGTAAAACCTTTTGTTACTTTCAACATTTTAAATTAGAAAAAAAGTGATCCTTAGATTTTGGTGGGGGTCATTTTAGTCTCTAATTATTCCTTAAATTCTCAAATTTGATGCAAATTATTCCTACTATTAGGATCACTACTTTGGATTGTTTAAAGTTCAAGTAGCGGTGGAAATTGAGGGTATTCCCTTTTAAATTATTTCTCTAAGCATAAAGTTGCCTCATATTGTCTTTCGAGCATAAAACAAAATTGATTCTCTAAGACTAATATGTTTTTCTTGAAGCTTATTGTCACGCACCGTCTTCTCAAGTGGGGTTTGTTATATCCCTTCAACCATGGGAAAGAAGATTCTAGAGAAGATCAGAAAGAAGATCGACGTAAGAGACCCTAGAAGGTTTCACGACATTCCAGAGAATGTCGGAATAAGAAAGCTTCAAGAGAGACTCTAGGATGGTTTAGAAAGTTCTAGCAACATGTGTATAATATAGAATCATTTAGAAGTTTACATATGCTAATATAATCTAGAAGGTTTTCTAGGTCTTGAGGGAGGACTATAAATAGAGGTTGCCCAACCCCCCCTCCCTCTTAATTTGGAACAATTCAAGGTTCCCAAGCAATCACGTGTGTGAACATTCATACCTAGGTAAAGTGTTCCCTTTTTTTTCATTAACCTCTCCTCACTTCTTTTCCAGAGAGTTTTTGTATTTCCAAGTCTAAGCATTGTGTAGGGGTTAGGCTGATTTAGCTTAGGAAAAACACTAAGGCCGCACGAGTGATTTGAAAGGAGTTTGTCCGTGACATTATGCTCCATTATTCTTTCCCAAAATTTTATTGTCTTGATTTGAACAGTTGATTCTAGCATCAGGCCAGCGTCATAAGCTCCTCATTTGGTTTTAAAGGCAGCCTTTGTCTAGGATAGTAAATAAATAGTTCTTTAATCATTTAGGATTTCATTGAACGGATTAACCAAACTATGCTCTATAGTGTTTATAGTTTTTTTAATTCTTAACAAAAACCTATATCATGATTATTATGTATCTTCTTATATATAATCTAACATTATTTTTTCTAATCAGCATATAGTATATTTCATGGTTCTTTTCAGTTTGCTGTTCTGTTATATTTGTTTCTCTGAAAATTTATTATTGAAATAATATTTTCATTTTCCTTAAAATTCAATTAGTTTCCTTAATCTTCATTTTCATTTTCCTTATCATTTTCATCTTCTATGAAGATCAGTTTTTCATCACGTAGTCTCTGGGCTTTCTTCCTGCATTCTATTGACTTTATTAATAACTAACTGCAAATGCATCAAGGCCACAGCATAACTCTGTTATTGCCATTCAGACTTTAACAGCACCGAAAGGTTAAGGTCCTTTTGTATACAGGAAATGGATATAATTATACAAATGATATGCCACATAAAATTCACCTTTCTTATGCATAATTTTAAATCAATACAGAAGTATTATGTCTATCGATTGCCTTGGCACTAATGAATCTTTTTGAAGCTCTAAGATAATGCAATAAATTTTGGTAGATTTTTTATTGACAAATAATAGGAGGCATCATGTCAATTTTGCGTGCCACTGCTCCGCTGGAAAAATGTTGTGGCATTTTCATGGCTTCATTGATATCAACCGATCTCAAGAAAATCATCATCAGTTCTGTACACAATGTTTAGTCATTTGTGTTTTGTAATTCTCATAAAAAATATACTTTTAATGTAGTTATATTTGTAGAAATTCTCTTGTAGTATTATGTTCCTTTTTTCCTTCATTGTTCCTTTTGAGTCCCATGTGGTGTGCTTTTCTTGTTGTGGATTTCCTTGTGCAGGTTCAGCTATTGGCTTTCGTTTGGATAGTCTTTTAAAGCTTACAGATACTCGTGCAACTAACAACAAAATGACACTAATGCATTATTTGTGCAAGGTATAGAATTGATATAGCTTATCTATTTAATGCTGTCATAATTGCGGTCATCATCTTCATCAGTAGTCTTGTCCTAACTATGCGTATAACTACGTGGAGTGGGCTTTATGAATACTACTCCATTGATATTTTGTTCTTTAACTATTTTGCATAAATTTTTGACCTACTACTACTTTGCACCTCGTTTTTCCCATTTTATACAAGCTGCTTTGTATCAAAAAATTCAATCCCAGGTCCTATTTGTTCGTTCTTTAGAAACAAAATTTTAATTTTAAATCATAGAGTCTTAAAATTAGCTCATTAATCTTATCATGCCGTTGTTTGGAGACTTCTCTTTACTCTTGTCACAGCTGACAGTTTTAATTTAATATTTTCTCTTGCATTTGAAGTTTTCATACAGCGTTAACTGATTATTGATAAATATATAAGGAACTGAGTATTTTTGAAAATGTTTCTCATTTTCTTAAGATGGATTACAAGCTCTCTGTTAATTTATTTTTATGTTCTTATCATCCACTTTTGCACCCAAAAAAAAGTACATTACACATTTATTTTTATGTTCTTTAATTTTAAATAGTTGTATAACATAGTTACTAATTATATACACATGCACATGTAAGCACAAAATTTTTAGATGGACTTATATATATGCATGGATGTATATGTAGGACCCAAACAATGATCAAGTATTTCTGGTGTATTCTTCATATTTGAGTCATGAAATAGCCTCTTAGCAAATGCTGTGATACAATTTTACAACTCCTATCTCGACTCCACGTTAGCGGGAGCTGAACATGTTTTTGCTACCTTATTCATGTGGAGGTGCTATTATCTTTTTATGTGAATTGGGATATTTTTTCATGTAATTCTGTCTTATTTTTCATTAGTTAAACTTCCCTTTGGCAAATCAGGATCATTCACTTTAAATTTCATTAAAAAGTAGTATGAAACCATATTTTGGCAAATCATGAATTTTGGTTGTCATCTCTCAAGACTCTCTTTTGTTACACAATCATTATAGAAACTCTGGTCTGTCAAAAAGGATGAATATTTTGATGATTTTTTTATTAGTGGAAAGAAGCCTCCCATTTTCTATTTCCCTAGTTTTCTTTTTTCATATTTTGATCATTGATTGTCTAAAGGCCTTCGTTTGAGTAAAAATAAAACTGAATACATAAAATGTAATTTTAGTAGTAGTAGCTCTAGTGACAGAAATGTTAACTTTGGGCGATCAAATTATTAAAAGGTGTGATTGATTTAAGTATCTCGAGTATTTTGTTTAAAGCGATGGTAATATAGATGGGGATATTAATAGTAGAATTCATGTTGGTTGGTTGAAGTGGAGGAATGCTACGGGCTTATTGTGTGATAGAAAAATACCGCTTAGACTGAAAGGAAAATTGATTAGACTGAAAGGAAAATTTTATAAGATGGTGTTGAGACTTGTAATGCTCTATGGCGCTGAATGTTGGCCTTTAAAAGTGAACCATAATACTAATTTAAGTGTTGAGCCGAGATAAGAATGATTAGGTGGATGAGTGGATTTACACTTAGAGAAAATATGCATAATGAATATATCCGTGGTAGGGTTGGTGTAGCTTCAGTGACGGACAAAATTAGAGAAAGTCGTCTTAGATGGTTTGGTCACATTAAATGTTGACCATTTGATGATCCGATTAGGAGAGTAGATGTTTTAGATTCAATTTATGTTAAGAAAGGCAGAGACAAACCTAGGAAAACTTGGGCGTATTGTATAAAAAATGATCTTAATTTATTAGAATTAAATGAAAATATGACACTAAATAGGACGCAATGGAGAAAAAGGATTTATGTAGCCGACCCCACTTAGTTGGGTTAAGGCTTTATTGTTGTTGTTGTTGTTGTAGTATTTTATTGAATTTTATTGTTGTTGTTGTTGTTGTAGTATTTTATTGTCTGATTCTTTTCAACATCTCTAGTATAGACCATCCAAGCATATGAAAGGTATAGATGTGAAATGATGAAGCTACTTGAAGAAGAACGATCTATGGAACTATTGAGTGGATGATAATGTTGCCAAAAGTGAGAGCAACATATAATTGACTATGGAGTGGGTAATGTCAAAGGATGTGCGAGCAACTTGGCCAATTATAGAATGGTGGCAAAGTTGCTTGAATTGAAAATATTGATGAGGCTCATTTTGAAAGTGTGAGCGATGTATCCAATTATGGAGTAGGCGACAAGGTTGCTTGAAAAGGACTGAGCAATTTGTCTAAATACGATGTGGGTGACAACTGCATCTTGAAAGAAATATGCAATACAACATGAAGTGAATGATGGAGCATTCTAAGCAATGGATGCTATTGGTTATGTAACAGGCGATGACGTTTTCTAAAGAGGTAATGACACATTTAGCCATGGAGCGGGTGGTAAAACTATTTGAGTAGTAAGTGATACTATAGATTATGGAATTGAGAATGAAATTGTCTATGGAGCAAGCGACGCTACTAGCTATGAAGATGCCAACAAAGTTTTTGGAGCAAACAATAATGTTAATTATTTAGTCGCGGCAACAATGTTTGAGGAGTGCGACTAAGATTAGGGTGGGTGAAAAATGTGTTTGAGGAGGAAATGATGTGTTCGGCTATAGAACGAGCGTCTGCTTTGTTAGGGGAGCAAGTGCTATGCCTAACCATGTAGCTTGAAATATAATTGATTCTTTGATGATATGCTTGCTATAGACAATACTTAATTGTAAAAATGATGAAGCTTCTCCCATTTATTGTAATTTTATTGTAAAGGTTATGTTGCTTATTAGGGTTTGTTTCTTCTTGTGATATATGCTGTATCTTAGTTTATGATGAGGCTTTTAGGTATCTTTATATTTTTTTGAAAATTTTTAGGCAATTTGTAATTTGCACCAACACATCCAAGTATTTTTTTATTCAGCAAAAGGACTATTATTTTTCTTATAGAATTTAGTTGTATGATTTTTGATCGGTCCATTGAATTAAATGAGAACTTTTTACCGGCTAGTTAGAATAGTTAAATTTTAGAGCAATCTGGTAGCATTGGAAAGCTAGCTGCAAGTCAATCAATACTTTTCTTAATAGTTTTGATAAGTGGTAGTATTATCGTTGATTTTTAACAGAGATTTTTGAAGCTTCTTAAAAATTTTGGTCTTTAGTGTGAATTTTGTAATCAAGACATATTGAGCAGAGACTTCTTGTTGGCTTCTTTAAGGATCATAATTTGTTTTTTGAGAATAACTTTCATTTGTGGGCTTGTGGGTGATCCAGTGTTGGTGTATTAGGCTACTAGTTGGTTGAAAGTATTAAAAATACATTTTTATTTCAAACAGTGTAACGTAATCGTAGCATACTTTTAGTACTTAGACTTTGGTTGGTTGTAAAATAGTATCATGAGATCATATTTTTGTGTTTGGTTAAAAGTAAAATGAATACAAAATTTTGTACGATTATATTTTAAAGCATGAAGCTGGAGTGGGCGCCGACAATTGACGGGGTTATGGTAATGGAGAACAAGTTTGATGGATGCATCGCTAATGTGCAAGGAGATTGTTACTTGGTTGGATTGCATTTGTATGGACAACATGAAGATGGTTTTATCTGGGTCATGTTGTTGGGGATCTGAGATCAAGATCAGATGGACTGTGTGATGCAACGATGATGATGTAGATGTAAATAAAGTGCACCACAGTGGTAGTAGATGATGGTGGATGACTCGATGGTAATGAGAATGATGGAGATTTCATAACAACAAGATTGCTTGATAGCTTACTTGATTTTCTTGAATTTGCATGACACGTTTGAATTTGCCCAAATTGGCAAATTCATTATACACTTAAAACGAACTTCCAGGATATTTCAAAATATTCAACAAATTATTGTGTTTGCTTGTCTTGTATCAGAAAGCATGAAATTTTAAAACCCTTGCACTTGTTGTACTCTATAATCCTAATACATCCAAACAATAGTTTGAACTTGTTGAACTCTAAGTTGATTGTGACTTTTGAATTCTTTTTGAGAATGTCACAAAACTTTGGGTATGAATCTATCAAGTATTTTAATCATTCTTTATGGGCTTTGAAAACTCAAGCGCTGACCTCGCTTGATGATGGAATTTTCATTTAAGTTTTGAGTCAAATTTTCAAAAAGCCAATCAAATTAAAGATAAACCACTACTCATAGTTTTTATTTTCATTTTTGTGAGAACTTCATATCTAAGATTTGATATCTCCCACAGGCACAAACCCTACAAACACTATATTTAATTACCACTTTTTATAACATGAGAGCATTTTCTATTAAGGTTATTCATTAGGGTGGTGATCGCTCAATGTATAATACAAAAGTAACAACAAAATTTTATCCCAGTTAGTGGGTCAGCTACATGAATCCTTTTTGTCGATTGCGTTCTAGTGAGTGTCATATTTTCATTCAATCCTAATAGATTTAAATCACTTTTTTATGCAAAATGCCCAAGTCTTTTTATATCTACTTCTGCTATTCTTAACATGAGTCAAATCTAAAACATCGACTCTCCTAACCGGATCATCATATGGTCGATGATTAATGTGATCAAACCATCTAAGATGACTCTCTCTAATCTTGTCCGTTATTAGATCTACACCAACCATATCATGGATATATTCATTTCACATTGTCTCTAAGTGTCAGGCCACCCTTCCACCTAAGTATTCTCATCTCAACAACACTTAACTTTGTTTTATGCTTATTTTTTAAAGACTTAACATTCTGGGTCATAGAGCTGTGCAAGTTTCACCACCATCTTATAAAATTTTCTTTCTAATCTAAGTGGTACTTTTCTATCACACAATATGCCTGATGCATTCCTCCACTTCAAGCAACCAACTTGAATTCTACTAATAACATCCTCATCTATATCACCATCACTTTGAACAATAGCCCGGGATATCTAAAACGTTCACAACTTTTAATGATTTGATCGATTAATGTATAATAACAAGAATTTAAATTTTTTTATATAAATTTATCACTTTGAGCTTAGAGCAATTGATGAGGAAAATGATGATGAACCCTATTAAGGTCTCATGTTTCTGTTATCCTAGGTGGTCATGTTCCTTGATCTCTTTTTTCAGATAAGGTAATATTCCCAACTTGACCAAATGAACTTTTTTAAAAACATGGTTTGTTTCGTCCAAATTAACCTTGTAGACTTATGATACATGTTTGCAAAAGGGGACAAATCTAAATCTACCTTAGCTAATAGAAGAATCTTTTTTCTCATTAGAGATATCTTATTATTCATAGCTCAAATAAACACTCATTGGGAAATATACGTGTTACATCAATGGTCATAATGTATTTGAGTCAGCTGTCTAAATTATTTGACCAAATGGCTTAGATATAACCGATGCATCTATAGAGACGCTGAGCCAAACATATGGATAGAGGATTCGAGCCACTTTTTGTTGGCTTATGTTAATTTTAGAGAATATAGTAATATATTTGATATGGTATTTGCTCTTTGTGACCTTGAGTTAATATTAAATGTCATCTCCAACAAATTGATGTGAGAGGTGAATGTGATTTTTGCTCTTTAATTTTAAATAATAAATTTTCATTTAAATATTTTAATTATAGTAATTTTTTTTTGAATATTTTATATTTTTACATGTAGGTGCAATTTGTAAATATAATCCCTTTATGTTGAGATTTGCATTCAACACAACTATCTTTGAGGATTTTTATTGATTTAAATTTTGTCCACAACCTCATTTATATAGAATTATTAATTGAATTTATTTAAACATTCTTTAGAGCTTAATTTTAAACGTTTATCCATTCGATTGATATTTGTATTTAAAACTTCTATCATCTGGGTAAAATGACAACTCCATCCCACCTGGAAGAGAAAAATTCAAGGAGTCTAGTGGTGAAATTGATTTTAGTCAAAGTAGTCTCAATGTCGTGAGAATTTAGGTCAAAATGTGGGTCCCACCTTATGAAATTTGAGGCTTTTAATGAAAGTTTAGATGAACTTCAAATTGGTCAATTTTTTATTTTTTCAGCTCAATTTGACTATATTTTAAGTTTAGAGTTCATTTGAATTTATTTTGAGGGCAAAATTATAATTATCGTCCAAATTATCTTAATTATCACCCGAGTTATCGTAGAGTGGATGTGCCTTAAATAGAGTCTGATTCGAGTGTGAAGGAATTCATTTGAAAGATTTTGACGATCCTGAGTCATTGAGGAGACTTTTTTGTAAAACAACGTTTTGTTAAAAATTTTTTTAGGTGGGAGGAATTTTCATTCAGGTAAAAAGTTGTCTGTGAGTCATCAAAATTTACTTAATGCTATTTATACTTTAATAGTGAATCAACTATATCTTATAGCACGAAGTTTCAAGCACCACAATAAGAGAAAATGATAATTTTGGAGCACAAAAATGGTAATTTCAAAATATTCCTTCATCGAGATGCATTTCGATCCACCTTTAGGATTTGCTTGAACTTGATTATATTTAATTTTCATTTTTCATGTTTTATTTCAAGTTTGTTTTAAATATTTGAGGTAAGTGATGAGTTGATAAGACGCGAGGTCAATAGTGGATAACCGAGAAAGAGGCAAATTTTTTTTTTTTTGTTAGAGGGAGATAGAGCCAGGCTGGTAAGAAGGTGGCTTTTGTGAGAGAAAATGATCATTTAAGTTGGGTTAAGTAGACTAGGCATTGGTTGTATATGTGGGTAGCAAGTGGAGTGAATTGTGTGGATTTTGGATTTGTGAAGGGAATGGTCGGAGATGGAACAGCCAACAATTTGGGAGGTGTAGGGTTAGATGAGTGAATGGAGTGACATGGGACAAGGTCAGTCCTTACTCAGTTCTTATGCATTGGTTGTTTTGAGTGGCGTAAGAATAGCTGGGGGTGCTTGGTCTGATGAGGAACGGGAGGTTAAAAACAAGGAGGGAGAGGGAGCGTTTTCGTGAAAAGGATTGTTTGGCGCTTCTAGGGGCAACGTAGAGAGTGACGAGGAGGAGAGGGGAGAGTGTGAGAGGGCTGGAGGTTTTGTGGAGTCTGAGAGTGGAGAGGAAGATGGGGACTGTTTGGAGGTTAGTAGTTGGGGCGGAGGTTGTAGAGCCAGGCGACACTGGCTGATCGAGCCACAGCGAGGAGGTGGAGTGAGCTTGTGCAGCGCAAAGAAGGGCGATGGGGTAAGAGCGACTAAGGGATTTTGAGATGTTATGGCAGCTCTGCATGAAGTAGAGGTGTGTGACAACATAAGAAGTGTCCGTGCGAGATGTCAGTTATGATAGTGAGGGAAGCTAGAGTTGGTGTTTGGGATCATCATGAGTTGAGATGAGACTGAGCTGGGAGTTTTTTCATGCAGGCTTTGTGCAAAATGGTGATAGCAGAAGAATGTAGTTCGTGTGTGTACGGGTGAAAGCATTAGAGGACTGGGGAGTCCAGCTTGGATGTGTTTATGCATGAAAGGAGTGGGGGAGGGTGAGGGGGAAGAGGATGCAGTGAGGAATGAGGAGGGACCGTGAGAGCACTGCTAACGCCGTATATTTTGTTTCCTTTTTTTTGTTGCCTTTTTGGTCACAGTAAAAGGATAGGAGAAGGTGAGCAGATGCGAGTAAGGCTCCATGCATGCTCCTGAAGGAGCAATTAGGCAGGGAGGAGGACTTGCATGTTGGAATGAGATTTGGAGGGATTTCAAATTATTTTTTGAGCAATAATAATTGAGTTATAATAAATTTTAATTAAAGAATATTATACACGTGTATTGATTCTTTCTCACATGTTTGTTTTTTGTCTTTTAAATGTGCAATGTTGCCTTGAATTCCATGTCATCATGTCATTAACAAGGACCAGGATAATGTGGGTGTCTCCTCTGTAAGTAATGTTCACGTTTGTGATGCATCCATAATATCCGTTTTGTATATGGAGGATGTTCTGGCAACTTTATCGGCAACTGAGGCAATTCATGTTACATTGCATTTGCTACTCATTGGCTTCATGATGTGCTCATTTGGTGATGTGATTGGCCATTGCTGGGTAATTTTAGTGCTTTTGATGCAAGAACACAATTCATTTAATGAATGGGCTTCATGATGTGCTCTTTGGGGATGTGATGTGATGGGCCATTGCTGGGTAATTTCAGCGTTTAGATGCCAGAACACAATTCATTTAATGAGTGGGCGGAATTTGTTAGTTTTGATGACAATTTAAGTGATTTGGATCCAATTTCTGCTTTGTCGCGTCTATTGTTTATCATTGCCATGATTTTTATCACATCTAACACTTTCTTGATAACTTTGATATTGTGCTTGCATCATCGATGAAATTTGGGTAATTTTTTATTGTAGTCGAGCCAGTTCAAATTGACTTTGCACGATGCTGCATTTCATGCCCATCATTGAACTTGACCTTGATTGGTTTTAACTCACATCATACACTGAAACATTTGTAGGTCAACTTCTTCAATGCCCTATGTTTGAGTCTTAATAACTATAGCCACCAAGGTTTTTTGTCATCATTTGGAAGTGTTGGTTAGAGCTTTGTTTGATAATTAATTCTCGTTTCAGTTTCTGAATATTAGCTCTAATAATGTTAATATCATATTTGATTAAGAAGAGTGAAAACTGGACTCTATTAACCTGAGCTCTCCCTCCAGCTGATTTAATTGTAGCCTTTCCCTCTCTCTCTTAAATATTCGTGTGTGTGCAAGCATCTTTATAAATATACAACTAGCCGGAAAGCTAGTATTAACTATTAGGCTTTTGTTCCAGTGACATGTAAATATCAATTATCTTATGTATTTTTTTCAATAATTTAAATCATTTCCAAAATGTAAAACCTGGTAATCTTAGCCGCTGTCCTTAATATTTGATAGGGATGAAATTGATTTTATTTCATTATTGTTTGGCCATCAATCAAAATGTTTAAAATTTTAATTGATGAAAGACAAGAATATTACAATGCTTTAGTCCTTTTTTCATGAATCATAAAAGTAGTTTTTTTTTTAACAAGACACTTCCAAAATTTTTTATCACTAGGATCTTTGGTCAGATCCTCGCGCAATTCATACTTTTTTTCCACATGCTTGATGTATTACTAGATTATTACTAAATTTCGTAATTTTCAGCATGGAGTGGGGATTGTATGGTGTTTTCATGAACAAAGTCTACTAGTACAGTAGTACTCATGTTGAGACAAATTATCTCTCAAGATTGTTAGAACACTGCCTAGTTTCTTTTCTCACTCATCACTATTATATGTAATTATGTTGTCAATTAATGTCAGGTTATTGCTTTAAAATCATCTCATCTTCTTGACTTTCATGAGGATCTTACAAGCTTGGAATCCGCATCAAAGGTATAAATTGCTGCAAACAAATTAAGCTCTTTCTGTGCTTATATATATATATAGATATATTTTTTTAAAGATATTGTTTATTACAGATACAATTAAAATCCTTGGCTGAAGAAATGCAAGCTATTGTTAAAGGCCTAGAGAAGGTTGAGTTGGAGTTGACTGCTTCGGAAAGTGATGGCCCAGTATCATCAGTTTTTCAAAAGGTATACTTTTAGGTATAGTTCTATTTCTTTATTGATTAATCCGTTAGTGTAGAAAAATAGAAAGTTAGGAAAGTAATCTGTGTTTAGTGCCTGCTGTGATGCTTATTTGCTTATTCTCTAGAATATTGCACTGCCCTTTATTTATGATAGATCGGTCTTCTTATGAATAAGAAACAAGGAAGTGCTTCCCTCGCCAGCATGCTATTAGTGCAGGGTTAATCCTATATATTAGTTGCCACTCCTCCCCTCTTCTCTGAAAAATTTTCCCCTCCTTAGAAACCCCCTTAATGCTGCTCCTCCACTAATCTGTGCTTGTATTTATGTGACTACATTTGTGCGCCTATGCAAATGTGCCCATTCATCCATGCTCTTGCTATCCTATGGCCTCACTTGCTTGCAACCATATGCATTCTGGTGTTCATGCTTACCTGTTCTCATCACAACCCTAGCTGTGCCTATGCCCACGCCTTTCCTGTAATAGCTATCATCATCTTAAATCAACTTCTTTTCCTAGATTTATGATTGCTTAAAACCTTTCATTTTTGTATCTTTATTATTGGTTTTGTTTGCCCACGGTTTTCTCTTCTTTTCCAAGATGAAGATATGTCCAAAACTGGTACTTCTATCGAACTTAATGTGAAAAAGTTATATTCAGTGGTTTAGTGGTTTCCATTTTCTAGTGAAATTTTTTGTAAAACTCAAATCTGATTCTGTGCCTCCTGAATTGACTGACATTGCCAAATACTTCAAATTATAAGCTTTCGACCATGCTGTTCTTACAAGAATGTTCAATAGCTTTGAACCCATTTTTGCTTCTACTGTTGTGTTTTAAAGCATTGCCAAGGGATGCAAGCCTTGCTCAGTTCTATATATTTTGAGCGTAATAATATCTCTTGGGTACTTACTATCTACTGTGACATTCTCTCTGTGATAAGTTGAAAATCTAGTCAAGAGAACTACAAGACAAAAATATGATAATTTTTTTTCAAAGCTGCCTATTTACCACTGAAACTACTTGGCGAACATAAAATGATGAATTTTTTTGTTACTTCATTCATCTGCAGGCTATATCTATTCTTATAATCTATTTTAGCTCAATTCATATCAAACTTTATGATACTAGATGTAGCCAAACAACAATGAGAAATACAAATTTTATTTTTGAATTCAAATAGTGATTACGACCAAGATACACAGAACTACAAAATAACGAAAGGCACAACTCATAAACTTTGGGTCGAGGGTGGTGGTGTTGCGGTTTATATAATTTGAGGGTAGTAATATCTCTAGGGTATCTACTATCTACTGTGACATTCTCTCCATGATAAGGTGAAAATCTATTCAAGAGCACTAAGAGACTGAAAGAAAAATATGACAATTTTTTTCATTGCTGCCCTTTTACTGTTGATACAACTCCTTGGCGAATATAAAATGATGATTTTTTTGTTACTTTGTTCATTTGCAGGCTATTTCTATTCTTATAATCTATTTGAGCTCAATTCATAGCAGACTTTATGATACTAGAGTTAACCAAACAACAATGGGAAATACAAATTTTATTATTGAAATCAAACAATGATTACTACCAAGATACACAAAACTACGAAATAACGAAAGACACAGCTCATAAACTTTGGGTCGAGGGTGGTAGTGTTGCGGTTTAAGGGGAGAGCAGTGGGTATGGAGGGGGTGAGGGTCGAAAGGTAGCAAGCATGGAATGAGGAATGAGCGGCTGGGCAGCAGGGGAAGGTTAGAGGGGCGGTTGATCTGTACAACAGGGAAGGAGGAAAGTGGGGATCCTGGTTGGCAGGGGGTTTTGAAGGCGACAACAAGGTTGATTGTAGAAAAACAATCAAGTAGGGCTTTTTTCAGGAGGTGACAACAGGTACGATGATGGTGGCAGTGGAGGGAAATGATGCGGAGGAAGGGAAAATTGAGGATAGCGTCACCTCGAAATTAGGTACAGTTGGGGCATCGCTCGCCTTCGGATAAAACCTTGAAAAGAAACACTGGAGACACTAACGGTTCTCTTGACATAATCACAACGAAAAATAAAAACCTAAATACGACAGAAGCACATAAATAGCACCATGGTAGTTAGGAGTGGGCCCCCCTCTCACAAGTAGGCGATAATTCTAGATAAGGAAGGTCGACCGACTCTCAGGCTGCTTTGCGTAACCAACCCCAATTGGTTCTGGATATACGTGTCCCATCTTGATGCGAGAGACACCATGCCTGCTCCGTAAGTGGGAGATACCTACGTTAGTTTCCTTCGGTTGGAGGAGCTTCGACCTCATCCGTCAAAACTTTTGGCCCGTAATATAGCGTCAGGTCGGTCATGTTGAAGGTGGTGCAACTACTGTAACCAGGTAAGTTAATCTTATAGTTGTCATTTCAAAACATATTATTGTAAAAAGCATTCATCATGTTTTGACACAACTTGAGTTGGAATTGTATATAAACATAGATTCTCACAAAGTTACTCTAGAGCCATTGACAAATGGATCATACATAATGTGGATTGATCTTTGGCTTATTAAAGTTTAAACAAAAGGATCATACATAATTCTGAGAAACTTCGTTGCTTGAACAACTCTGACAGAAGCATGCCAAATGTATTACCATTTGTTACATGGTTGAACAGTTCTTTGTGATGGGAGTGTTTAGAGAGCATCTTTTAGAAATGGTGTAGCAATGGAAACTTTTGAAGCTTCTGAAACACATGCATGGTTAATGCACTCAAGTGCTCTTTTCATTGGCAAGAGCACCTGGGGTCCGGCTTGACAAGGGTATTTTTGTAAAGTAGCTTTAAATAGCTGTTCTAGGTTGAAATTATTCCTTACTGTGGCTATGCGGGTTTCTTTATGATAGCTAATTACTAGATTTTTAAGTAGTATAGAATACCTAGCTGCTGAGCAGGGTATGTTATTTACTCCTGATAGATGTCTTGATCCTCTTGATGATGGTAATCTTGCTATTTAATCTTTTCTATGTGAGGGGTGCTTAATATTATTGAATGTATTGAGCAGTCACTCTCTTACTTTATACCACAATTGATTCCCTTTTTTTATTTCATGTTTTCAATATTTCATATATTCACCTTTCTCTTGTTATTCGTCTCCCTATATTCATTTTTACTGGTGAACATTAACATTTGCATTATAGACATTGAAGGGGTTCACTGCTGTTGCTGATGCTGAAGTGCGATCTTTAGCCTCACTTTACAGTGCAGTGGTATGTCACCCGTCACCCGCTATTGTATGTTAAACTACAGCACCAACTTACCAAAATCTCTGACAGGGTAGGAATGCTGATGCACTTGCCATATATTTTGGAGAAGATCCTGCACGTTGCCCTTTTGAACAAGGTAATAGCGATTCATTTTTTTATTTGTTTTTAACACGTGTCTATTATTTGTTTTGCCACAAGTTTGCCTTTACAAATGAATTCATTCGTACTTCTGAGTTTACTATCATATTATTATTCAAATTCCTTGCCACTGCCTTGTCTTTTAGCCACCTCTCTCTGTTGGCAGATGAAGTAGTTATTAATGTAGGTTTGATAGGCAAGTAGATTTTGCTGCTCTTCTTCCTTTAGGAGTTGTTTGATAGCCGAATTTGTGTAGGATTAAACCCTAAGACCTGTCAAGCAGCAAAAATGGCTACTTCAAATCCTGCAGAATTTTGCAACCCTTATCTTCCTGTTTTCTTAAAACCCAGATTTAGTAATTCTCATGAACTCCTTGTTCTTTCAAATGATGTGCTTGTTCGATTTTTTTTTCTTTCTTTTATTCGTGTTCGACTTGTTTTCAAAATGGCTCATGCATTGACTGATTGTGTTCGGCTCGATTCAAGCTTGTTTGTTCGAATTAAACTCGTGTTTGGCTCTAAATAATAATGAATTAAAACTTAATAAATCAAATAATATAATTAAATTATAAAAAATTATTTTTTATTTTTATACTCTTCTAAGAGTGAATAAAACCCAGGAAACTTTATTTTCTTCCAAAAACTGAAATCCGTATTTACATTTTAATGTGCATTGTTTAAGTTTTTTTTATTCTCAATGTGGGATTAAATGATGGAGGGCGGAACCGTGTGGGACCACAGGGCCGGAAGGAGGACGGCGTTTGCAAATTTTTCAAGCATTTACATACCACACAATTCTTATGTATTTACATATCCAACATCGAAATTTTTGGAGGAAAAGCGGGGCTACGGAAACGTACGGTGGGGGGAAGGAAGGAGGCAACGATCTAATATTTTCTCTGGGCATTTCACATACATATCATCAAATTCTCATGCATTTATATATGGAATGTAAATTTTGTTTTTCATTTGCAAAATTAGCTCAAATTATTTAAAAAATTAAGAAAATTTGATATATATTTTTAAATACAAAATAAAATTTTAATATTTAAATATTAATTATTTATTATTTGATTAATTCAAACTAAATCAAATCGAACACGAAAAAACAAATCTTTCTTTGTGCGAGATCAGAAATTTATTCTTTTTTTCGGCTTTTGCCTAAAGAGCTGAGTCGAACACAAGGTAGTTAGAGAGCCAAACATGATCTATTCTAGAATTATGTATTTTTATTGTCCTAATTATTCAGTTGAATATTATCAAATAAAGCTTTATTTTTGTTTAGTTTGTCAATAAGTTAGCTTATAAAAATTGGTTGCGCATTATTTAATCAAGCCTAAAACGATTGAACTCAAATGAGTTTTTTAACTGCGCTATCCACAATGTTAATTTTTTTTTTATTAATTTGATAACCTCTTTGATAATTAAAATTTGTTGTTTTTAATTAAGAAAAGATATTAATCAAATTAAGTTAATATTTTTGTTATTTAATTTGATTAGATAAAAGTTGATATTCTAATTAATTCCATTGAATAATTAATTAGAATATTAACTTATGTTAATTATTATTTACAGCAACAACAAAAAGCCTTTATTCCACTAGGATCGGCTACATGAATCCTTTTTGTCCATTGCGTTCTATTGAGTGTCATATTTTCATTTAATTCTAATAGATTAAAATTATTATTTTTATACAATATGCCCAAGTCTTTTTAAATCTACCCTTGCCTTTCTTAACATAAGTCGAATCTAAAACATATACTCTCCTAACATTATCATCAAATGGTTAGCATTAATGGGACCAAACCAACTAAGACGACTCTCAAATTTTGCTCGCCACTGGAGCTACACCAACCTCATCATGGATATATTCATTTCACATTTTGTTTCCTAGTGTCAAACCACTCATCCACCTAAGCATTCTCATCTCAACAACACTTAACTTTATTTTTTGCTTCTATTTTATAGACCAATATTCTGCTCCATAGAGCATTGCAGATCTCACCATCATCTTATATAATTTTCCTTTCAGTCTAAGCGATGCTTTTCTATCACACAGACCCAATGCATTCCTCCACTTCAGCCAACCAACTTGAATTTTACTAATAACATCCCCATCTATATTACCATCACTTTGAACCATAGACCCAAGATATCTAAAACGTTAACACCTTTTAATGATTTGATCACCCATAGTTACAACTCTGCCACTAGAAGTACTACTAGTAAAACTACATTCCATGTACTCGGTTTTAGTTCTACTCAAACAAAGGCCTTTAGTACCCAATGTAGGCCTCCATAATTCAATTTTTTTATGAACTTTTTCTCTAGTCTTATCCATAAGGAAGATATCATCAACAAGAACTTATGCACCAAGGTACATCCTCTTGTAAATGTCCAGTAAGAGCATCCATAACTAAAGCAAAAAGATATGGGCTTAAAGATGATCCTTGATGTAATCCATCTGAAATAAGAAAATAGTGGGTCAATCATGACTTGAATATAAGTCAAATCAACATCTTTCTTCTTTAGAACTTTTCAAAGGATTTCTCTTGGAACCTTATCTTAAGATTTGTTTAAATAAAAAAAATCATATGTTGATCCTCCTTATTCTCTCTGTACTTCTTCATCATCCCTCTCAATAAATGTATAACATCATGGTAGATCCGCCTGATATGAATCGAAATTGATTATGAGAAATCTTTGTAATACTTCTTAATCTATGTTCAATTACCTTCTCCTATAATTTTAAAGTACGATACATCAACTTAATTCTTCTATGATTTGCACACTTTTGTGTATCCCCTTTATTTTCACTCAAGTATTTTTTTAGTTTTTAAAATAATATTAAAGAGTTTAATATGCCAACAAACTCCCATATCTCCTAATCATTTCCACACTTCAATTGGGATATCATCATGTCCCACTAATTTTCCACCATTGGTTTTCTTTAAAGCCTCATCAACTTCTTTTTTACCAATGCGATTGTAAAAATAAAACATTTTATTATTATTAACGATATTAAGGTCACTAAGGTTCATATTTTCAGAAACTTCTTCAAAAAGTTTATCAAAATATCACACTCACATCTGATGAATATCTTCATCTAAGAAAAGTACTTTTTGATTGTCATCTTTAATACACTTTACTTGAATTATATCTTCACTTTTCTTCTCTTTGCTTGACTAGTTTATAATCTTCACATTTTTCACATTTTTTAGTATATAATCTATTATAGAGCTCACTAAAAACATAATTTTTAGTGTTACAATTATTCTTTTAGACTCCCAATGGCTACCTTATAATTTTCCAGTTCTCTAAGCTTATACATTTAAATCAATTTTTATAACACAATTTCTTATTTTTTATTTTTTTTTGTATATTATTATTCTACCAACTATTTTTATTTTAAAAAAAAATTCTTTTGATTCTCCAAGTAAATATTTTGCAACTTGTTTAATAGTAATTGTTATTTTATCGCACATAGAATTTGTTTCTTTATGAACATCCCAAATTTTGAAATTTTAAAGTATACTCAGTTTTTTAGGTGCTCCTGTATAAGTCTATGATAATATTTTCTTGTATTCTTTGTCATGCAACTATTTATGTTAAAATCCGGAACTGATAATCGATGTTGAGCACTTAAATTTTCACTTGAAATGATCTTTCAATCTTTACACTCTCGATGATCTCTTTTTCTCATAAGAATATAATCAATTTGTGTTTTAATAGATCCATTCTTATAAGTAATAGTATGTTAATCTCTTTTCTTAACTAAAATATTAACAATAACAAAATCATACGCTGAGATAAAATCTAATATGTTTCCACTTTCATCAATCACTCAAAAGTTATAGCCACCATGAATATTTCTAAAATCTTCCGCCCTTGTAGCAACATGTCCATTTAATTCTCCTCCAATAAATATTTTTTCTTCAAGATGTATTATTTGTATTAATTCTTCTAGGTCAATCCAAAAATTTTCTTTTAAACCTATATCTAAACCTATTTGAGGAGCATAAACATTTATAACATTAAAAATCTTAGTATCAACTATAATATTTAGGGCTATAATTTTGTCGTAAATTCTATTAATTTTTACAACTTTGTTATTCTTCTGACTGAATAACAAAGTTTAAAAACTAAGCTATCAATACCCTTAGTTTTTTTAACAACCTATTTAGTTTTTTGAATTCATAAGATATTTATCTTCCTATGAACGATAATATTGACTAATTCCATTAATTTTACTAATGAGAATACTTATATTCCAAAATTTTATCCTAATATTAGCTTCATGGAATAACTTTTTTATTTGCATCCGTCCGTAATGTTGGAACCCTTGCTTATTTGACATTACACCCAAGCACCAGTGTAGCAGCCTTTACATGATTTTCACTATAAGTCATGCAACGCGTTGTTTCTATGGGACACCTTAGCATTTACCAATGATTTAAAGAATTCATGTCATGATTTTTTGAAAAATTTTACATTGGTTGTCGACTACCTAACGTAACTCTACTTTTCGCATCTGGGGCTTGGGATCCCACAATGACAATGTTTTGTTAATTATTATTGAATTAGCTTAATTATAAATGTTAAAACATTATTAATTTTAATATTCATACAGGCAAATTAGGTATATGTAGTTTAATTTTAAATTTGCATCAACAAGGATGATTATTATTAATTGATTAACAATATTTTAACTTAAAGTATATTGATAGTTTTTTATTTGAATTCAAAAATAGAAGTTATTTTTAAGTTTAGTTTAATAAAGTTTTAATTATTAGTTAATTGAGATTGTTTATTGTATTAATTATGGTTTAAGTAGTCTAGTTATGATTGATATAGTCTAAATAAAACATAATAAGATATTACAATTGTTTAAATTCTTAAATTCTGAAATAATATTTTTAAAATTTAACTTTGATTTTATTAAATATGACTTTAGAGGATTTACTAAATTCTATTTGAAGCCAAGCAACCAATTAAAGTTTGGTCATATTATGAGTTTTTATAGAAGTGATCATTGAGCAACACGCCTCGACCATATGGTTAATTAAAGTTTGGTCATCTTTGGTATAAGAGTTATACTCTTATGATGTATTGGTACGAACATTGAAATGACAATTTAGTGCAACAAAAACATGTGACTGTTCTAATTTGGTTCGAACCCGCCACCACCATATACTTGTCATGCCCCACGTCGACCATCTCCGAATTGGTGCAGGGCATAATGGAGTTTGGTATGATTTAACTGGTTGAATATACCACCAACGCTCATTTTAGTATGTGAATTATAAGAATATGGTCGATGATAAACTCATTTACTTAAATGTAATAGAAACAACATATTATTATGATTCATACATCTCCAATAATGTCAACGGGTCAAATTAAGCAGTAATAGTTTAAAATATGCAATGCCGACCCCACTTTGATAGAAGCTTGTTATTGTTCCTGCTGTTGTTGTATCCATTGTATGCAATCATCAATCTAATGTACGTATAAATATACTTGCAAATGAGTATAGAAGGTTTGTTTTCTATATTAGAGTTGTATGTCTTACTTTAATGACGATTTACCCCTTTGAACTGAATGCCCTGAAATTTCTTTTATAAACAATCACAAAATTCATTCTCCTTATACAAACATAAAGACCTTCCATTCCAATTTTAACTCAATTCGTTAGAAAAATATCGAAATCTAAATTTTAAATTGAAGTTCTAGCTTTCTTGCCTTACCTCACTTTTCTTCCTTTATGTTCTCAACTTCTCATATCCCTCACTTTTTCTTTTCTCCTCATTCTCTTCTCCTCTCTTCTCTTCTCTTCTCTTCTCTTCCTAGTTCTTTCCTGAGCTTCCAGGATGGAGGAATATGAGCTGCAATGCTATTGTTTAATTCATATATGCGTACATATGTATATATATATATAATACCCAATGTCACCATAGCCATTATCTTTAACCTGCCGCTGCTTGCTGTCCGACGGGGAACAAATTCATAATTTCCGCTTTAGCTACAGTTCTATGAACAAAAACCAATTCCATTACTTTTTTTGTCTTTTAGACTTAGCATGCACTTATAATGGCCTTGTAGTGTAAAATGCAATAAAATGATTTTTTTTATAATTTTCATAAAAGTTAAAATTTTATTTATAATTTATATATGATATTTTACACTTGTTCCTTCTAAAAAAACTGGGTATTACAATACCACCATGAGGCATAAGGCAGTTCTATATCAGACAATAAATGATAATTCCTTACAAGCCTTAACCATGTCCTCCTTAATGCAGTAATCTCAACGCTCACTACCTTTGTCCAAATGTTTCGGCGAGCACACCAGGAAAACTGCAAAGAGGCTGAACTCGACAAGAAGAAAGCCCAGAAAGAGGCTGAAATAGAGAAGTCCAAAAGCTCCAAATCCATCAAATAAAAATCGTCTCCCCCAACACACGCTAGGCCTGAAAAAACAAAAGGAAACGAGGAAGGAGGCCAAGGAGAAGAAGCACTTGCTCGCATTCGGTTTTTGCTTTTTATTTTGGTAACAAAAGATAGGCGAGTAATCAGCTGAAGCAGGCAGAGGCTACGCCTAAACCTCCAAATGTGAAGGATTTGAGATGAGATTTTTTTAACCTGAGATAAACAATGACTGACAAATTATTGACAACCAGCACAAAGATTCTAGTGTGCTGGATCTTGCCTGAAACCTCCATGGCTGTCCAGGGGACAAATGATTAAAGCCGAACGCAGCGCTGTTGCTGGCAACTATCATGCCAAACAAGGATCCGCTGAGGTACTTAGTTGTCCTGTAGCTCCTAGCTTGAAGACTCATGATCAGTGATATTAATCTGCTCAACTGTGACTTTAATATTCTTAGATGCTTGGATTACACATCCATTCGACCGTATGGGGCTGTTTGGTAGAGGTTTTTAATAAGATTTATCACCAGATTTATTAAATCCATCCAAACAGGAAGATACGCGAGTTCTGCGGATTCACTAAATCCTGTTAATATTAAATTTTACTTGCAGACAAACAGCCCCTAAGAGATATTGGGCAATCCAAATGGAGCTGATTAATGTCATTAGAGTCATGATGAGTTTATCTTGGAATTCATCTCTGTCGGTGATTGAAGTTTTTCTTCCTGCTGCAGGTTTTTTTGAGGCCAAGCCATCTTAATTTGGTTGATGCAGTCTTAGTTTCTGGTATGGTTCTGTCCATGTTTTTTTTTCTTTTTATTTTTTTTTTATTGTTTCTATATTTTTTTATTCTTTACAGTAGTGGATATTAGCCAGGTGAGTGTACAAAAAATAGGGCATGGAGATGCAAGTCTGTAATTATTCTAAACAAAATTTTGTATTTTTAAGAGGAAATCATATATTTTATGATATAATGCCTTTTTCCTGTCGTCGATGCTTTAACTGATGGGAGAAAATATTGCTTCCATTGTCCGGACCCAGCTTGCGTCCGGACAACGGCTGGAGGTCCATTTTTCCCCCCTTCATGTATTGCAAAACAGAACATTACTATTTGAAAAATTACTATGTTCTGTTGAGAAATTTATTTGTATATACAAAGCCGAAGTCGGCTTTTGATGATCTCTCTTAAGAAAAAGTTTTGGTTTATTTTTTGAATTTTAGCAATCATAGTAACAAATTATTTTTGTTGTTGTTGTTGTTCTTCTCCTCAGATTGTAGTCAAATTTTTTGATGTTCACCTTCAAACTACGTAGTGGGATTTGTCTTCACTTTAAATTACTAGTGAACAATTTAAAGCTAATATATATAAGTTCTGATTGAAAATTGTCTAGAACGTGTATAGATTGGCTTTAAATTAATGAGGTGTTTATATACAAGCTATGCAATGCTTATTTATTTATATATTTAAAAACTAAACCTTCAGAATTATATTTATAACAACTAAAATATTAACATCACATTATAATGTCACCATTATTAATCTTTAAAAACGAGATCTTTTTCATGCATGATTTAAAGACATTGAAGTATTAGAATTGTAAGTATTAAATTTTAGATGTTAGAAATGTAAATACAAAAAAAATTGCGGTATGCGTGAGTCTTTCTAAATTAAATTATGGCCAGAAAGGAATTGGTTTCTAGCCAATTGGTTTGTTTGAGGCAGCTTATAAGTGCGGGCAGCGTTTTCAAAATGCCAACGTACCATTTGGTTTGCGCGTTTCGCCAGCTTATTTGAAACTGTTTGAGTTTTTACACTAAATGCAGACAGCGGTTCGACCCTTGGGGGCCGCGTTTCAGGATAAGCAGTTTATCCTGAAACGCACAAGCTGCCCCAAACGGATCTTAAATTTCGTGCTTGTTAGAAATCTGCGTTTCAATTAAAAAATAAGTTAAATATAGTTACCATTTACCTGTGACGGCAACCTCAATTTTTTTGAAAATTAATCTTTCTTTTCCTTTCAAGGAACAATAACACTACCTTAAATTGGTCATTTACACACGTCCCATTCAATTCCTATGTTTTTATGTATCTAACACTTAAATTTTAACATTTATACCTCTCAACTATCTTATAACACATAAAAAATATCACTGGTTTAACTTATTTTAGCATGAATAATGTGGCATGTATGCAAAATTTAAAATATAAATGAATTAAGGTCTATGTATGTAAATCTTCCTTTAATTTAATGAACTCCAACATGTCTTATGTGATCTCAAATCTTATAAAAATTTATACAATTTGTCAACATTCATGCTTCCAAATCCTCCTTTTCCTCCGGTTCCAATTCCAAATGGTAATCAACTTCACCCTCCCAACCACTTAACCTGCCCCTTTTCCTGCAACTCCTATACAGCATACAGTTGATGATAACATCAACAACTACCAAAACAGAATGCATGCAAGTGATCGACGAAGCCTCCCCAATCAGGGAAACAGCGAAACTCTTCGAATTCAGCCATGGCTTCACTACCCGGTACTGAAACAAGGCTTCTGTTGCAGCCATTGCCAAATTTGCAGGCAGAGCCAATGTGATAGCGGTGGACTCCTTTCCTCTGATAAGAACACAAGCCCTGAGGACCGGAAGATATCCACCACAGCTTTCCATTGCAGAAACAATGGCGGCGAGATTACAGACCACCATCGTGTTTGCGAGCACGATTGAATAAAGAATGGCGCTTCCGGCTGAGAGGACGAGGATCACATTCATGGAAGAGAGATGAAGTGCCTCAGTTGTATTGAAGATGAGGAAGATTATGGAGAAGAAGGCGGCATTTGCTGAGAGGATGATGAATGAGTTGAAGAGGTGAGTTGGTAGGAGAAAGCAGTAGAGTCGGAAGTGTTGGATTGAATCTTTTGAAATTGGGGGGCTTTAGAACGGTGAAGATCACAGAGGCTTTGGCAAGGAGAAGGAAAGTTAGTGTAAAGGGAAAAGTTAGGATGAAGGTGAAGATGGTTTGAGATAGCTTGAGATTGAGGAGGGAGAAGAATTGCGAGGATGCCGGAAATCCGGCGGCCTGGAACAGAAGTTGGATGCGAAGGTAGAGAGTTTGGAGGGTGTAGAATGACGCGGGGGCGAGTGATTGAGAGAGGAGGATGGATGCGGAGAGAGGGAAGACGACGATGGCGGCGATGGAGGCGAGGGAGTGGTAGTAATGTAGGAAGGCATGGATGGACTTCCTCAAGATCTTGATGACCTTGGCCATGGCGTTTTGGATGAATGAGAGTTGAAGAAGGCTATGTTTGGCTTAAATGAAGGGGAGGGGAAGTCAATTGGCCCCCACAGATGACAACAAAGTTAGTTCATTAAGTAAATAATATGAATGATAGCCCAACCACTTAGCTCAACCACTGAACTAATTGCTGCAGAGGGGAATGATATTTTACATGAAATGAGAAACCATAAGAAGTAAAGTATTCTGTAAAGTCAAAAAGAGTTATGAAGGAAATTGAATGCATTAGAGAAAGCTTGAGTTTTATAGTATATGGAACATAATGAGCAGACAAGATGTGAAATTGTAAGACATGAAAGGTGAATCTATTTGGGGAAATTTAGGGAAAAGCAGGGGGGAGGATAGGGTGAGGGAGAAGTAGGGTCCTATTTGGTGATTGAGTCACACCCAAGTAAAGATTAGTTTAGAAGAATTGTTGTCATGTGATGCATCATGAACTTTTTGGTAGCAAGTCAAATTCATTGTGGTCGGACCCACATTTTCCTTAGAGATTAATGAAAGTCTCACTTTATGTTGCTTTTTCTTCAAATTGGATGTATAAAATCTAGACTTGTTCACTATCGTTTTTTGTCTGCTTCCCATCGAGGCATATCAATGAAAGTGGAATCCAACCAAAGAGGAACTTACTATGAAAAAAAAAGGGAAGATTTACCTACATGCCGCTCAATTCCTATGTATTTACACATCTAAAACTTATAATTCATTTTTTATATGCATACCATCTTAGCTATGCATGAAAAGGTATATTTCACTTCTTAAAAGATAAAATGATGGCATTTTTGACGTATGGGAAAGATTTGGGTGGTATAAATGTAAAAAATATAGTTTAGGTGTTAGATATTTAAATAGATAGGAGTTGGGTGGTATGAATGTAAATTCCCCAAAAAAGAACTAGTTTGATGAAGCAATGAGATTGAAAAACAAACAACAAACAAAGCTCTGAATCCGTGTGTGTGCAAGAAACTAAGAAAATTGCTTTTTTTAAAAAATACAAACTGATTCATAAGCACTTTCTAAAAGTAGCTTCTCAACTTTATATAGGCCATTAAGTGTAATTATTAATTCTGGAATCATCAACTCACATGTTTTCCAATATCATTAGTATAATGCAAGCCAAGACACAATCAGTGGTCCAGTTAACTGTGATCTGATTTTATCAACCCACATTAATGTAATTATTAGAAAGATCCAGGCTAGAAACAATCATTTTGCTATAAATAATAGGGGCGCATACATACATACCACCCAATTCCTAATTATTTTCATATCTAAAACCTAAATGTTGAGGTGTGGAGCCTGGAAGAGCACCCACAGACGCAAGGAAGTTGGGCAAGCAACAGAGGTATTTTGAGTTCGGCACGCCAACATCTAGACGACGGGCCTATGCCTGCAAACAGAGAGAGTGACAACGCCCGCACCCATATGGACATGCCCGTGCTGACAAAAAAAGAAAAAAACTCTTGCGCGTGTGATTCTTTCGACAAAGGTTTCATGAAGGATAGATGTCTCGGAGAGGAGAATTTTAGCTTGTTTTTCTCATGTGAGATCGAGAGGAAGGGTTTAGAGCTAAGTCCTGTAAGTTCCATCGATTGTGGAGAAGACATCTGAGTTAGTATTCTATACTTCTCTAAATTTCATAGTGAAAATTTGTGGTGGTGTGACTTTGTGGTTTTTTCGCATTCTCAGATTTTCCACCTTATATTCTGGTGTGTTTGTCTGGATTGTTTTTGTTGTGCTTCAATTCGAATATTTTGTTCCGGTTTTATTGAATCAGTGTGATCCTATTCTACAGTGCAGTTTTGATTCTACATGAAGTATAGGTGTTAGATTTGTAAATACATAAGAATTGAGTGGTAAGTATGTAAATCTTCCTTAATCATATTACTGAGTGCCGCTTTAAAACTAAATCAAGCCAGAAGCTGCCTATATTTGGCTAGAAGCATCAACAGACCATTTTAATATACCCAATAAACCAATAATAAAAAAATATATATAGATTCAATATGAGATTTATAATTGAAGTTACAATTTAGATAATCATGGAAATGCTTGCAACTACTAAGAGATTTAACATCCAAGTTTTGCTCCCTTAATTTGGCGAAGCAAGCAAAAAAATTGCACAGAAAATGATAATGAAAATCAAATTTGATGAAATTTACATTTATTTAAAGTGCATAAAGAGAAAAATAAATAAGCACTAGATTCATGTGTAACAAAAAAGCACCTCAGAGTTCCAAAAAAGCAGAATAATGTTCCTAATTCTCTAAATTAATTCCCTATCATTTGACCCTCCATAAAAAGCTTTCATTGCTGTCTGATCCTTAACACAAGTTGAAACATCAACATTCAAATCTGTAGCTAAAGTCTGGCAAATAAATGGAGGCATTAAATAATCTTAGATAAAAATGATTAGACAGTTCGAAAACGATTAAAAAACTAACGGAAATTATAGTTGATGCATAGTCACAATATCTTGATATAAATATGAATGGTTTTATCTAATCTGCAACTAGAAGGAATAAGAACCTATTAGAAATTTGATACCTACTAATCGTTCAGTTAGAAAGGGAATGAAGTAAATCATCACCTAACGCCACCTATTTGGGTGAACAGACTCATATCTACTTGTTTTTAATGCATTTTGGATATCTACTACTTATAAAATATGTGTAAGCAAGCA